TGATTTCCCTTAAATTCTGCTTCAAATATGAAAATGTTCAACTAATTTACCGTTTATTCACATAACCGCTATAGGTACATTTAAACGCCGGTCTTTTACTCGAAAAGACAAAAATAAGGAAGCTAAGTTTTCATCTCGCAGGCAAATAATCGTAAAAAAAAAAGATCAGCCCTGCAAATGTATATTTTAAATAGCAAAGCCATGTGGTTCAAGCTGTCATGCATATACATAAAAGTGAGAACAGGTGCGACGCGTTAAGGTAAGAACTGAAGCTCGAAACGCAGACGAGTAGCATCGAGAAGAAAAGCGTTTGGAGCGCGCGTACAACCGCACTATCTGCTGGAAGCATAACGCGGATAAGTGGACCCAGCGAGTGCAGTCCTCGTCGCATTATGCGTTTTTCTTTTTAGTCCTTTCCTTCGTCTTACAGATGTGCGACAGACTTGGAATTGCTAATCACAGTGAAAATTGTTAGATAATTCTCTCGTAAACATTCTCTCTCTCTCTCTCTCTCTCTCTCTCTCTCTCTCTCTAAAAGTTTTTAACTATATATAGCAACGGCTTTTACGTTGCTTGCTGTTTACGTGGACAAAGAAAAAGGAAAAGTATATAAAGCCGCGCGTGTGTGTATGTGTGTATACAACTGATATAATGCAAGACGCGCGTTATCTCGTTGTTTCGGTGGCTATTAATAAGAAAAATGCTTTAGTCGAGAGCCGTTATGTCCATAAGCTGATTTTATAGTATTACTATGGCCATGACATCTAAAGATTAGTGAATAAGTAATCAATTGTAAACACCATTTCAATTAAAATTTTTTGTTACTTATTGCACGCAACTGGAAAATTGCTTTGAAAACATCCTCTAGCGTGTACTGCAGCTTATTCGCATGAAAGATTTATCTTTTTTGTGCATGCGAGGAAAAGAGAGAGGAGGCAAAAAATTCCAATCTTGTGTGTATTATTCCGGGTATAACATAGTCTTTGAATATTTCACACTGCATCGTACAACTTTGACATGTTTTATTTCTTAGTTGTTTATTTGCTTCCAGAATGCTCTAAACTCTGTGCTAGAATGTAAATATTGCTGGTATTAATCAAATAACGCCAAATTAAAGCACAATTACTAAATAATAATTCAAAAACGGCAGATCAGTAAATATTTGTCAAGTGTTTCGAAAAATAGGAAATGTGACTAGATATCTACACTGTAAATACCGTACTCTGTATAGAGACTCTTTTTATCAGCTTAGAACATCAGAAAACTAATTAGTAATTGTGCTCTTAATGGTCACTATTAGGTCAATGGCAACCATATCTACCATCTTGTTTTATTGCTTACAAATGTTCATGATTATCATACATAGTTATGACCGCGTATTTCATTATCTCTTCATAGAGATAAGCACATCTGAGATAATGAATGGGTAACATCAATTTTTTACAGTTCATAAAACAATTACGTTAAATTTAACCTATGAAAAGCTATATATTAGGAAGTAATGAAATTTAGAAGTTAATTGCATACAACAAGTACAATTATTGTAAAATAAAACGTCAAGTTTGATTTAAGATTATTAATTAAATAAACAGATCAATAGTTTGGTTAGAATGTTTGCCAGTTGATTAGTACTTCTAACATAATTTAAGTCAATAGGTATGCCAATGTGCTGTTGAATAAATTTTCGCGAAATTTCTGTATTTCTTTCCTTTGATGATTTTTTCTTCGCGCGTACTTTTAAACAAATAAATTACTGCTTTATTGTCAATAAAAAGTGATTTAGGTACTTTTAAATAAAGAAAAATAAATTCATTTGCCTAATCCAGCGCAAATCATCAATTGAAGAGATAACTGCTCTGTACTCTGCTTCAACAGTTGCTTTAACAACTTTAGATTGTTTCTGAGCAAACTATCAAACTATTGGTCAACTTCTCATTATCGGCCTTCCACTAGTTGAAAATCCAGTTATAAAGTCTTCTTCACAATCAGAATCTTTATAAGCAGTTAATTTGTGTCTCCGATAAAATAGATTCAAAAATTAATTATTTCTTATATGTACTGAAATAAGCGTTTTATCATTTTCTAATGACTCATTTTTGGTCTACTGTCAAATCCGCTTAAGTAATTAACTGTAAAACTTATGTTAGGACGAGAAATAGTTGATAAATATAATAAACTACCTATTGCTTAACGGTAAGATTTATTTTCATCTGAAAAACTATTATTTTTTAAATTTTTTTCCGTGCACAATTACCAGTCTATGCTCTATTGTTAAAGGCTTCAATATAACCTTAAACCAATACCACGAGGGTAAAAAGAAAAATACCTTAGTATGTACTTGGATCGTCGACTAACGTGAAGAGACCACATTTGGACCGAACGTAAACAGATCGATCCACAGCTGAGAAAATACTACTGGCTTCTAGGCAGAAAATCAAAATTGTCAATTAACAACAAATTATTGATATACAAGTGCAGAATGAAACCAGTTCTTTGTCTCAGCTTCACTCCGCTCGCAATTTCAAACAGATCTTTTGATTTGAGAGTTAGATTTAACTTAAAACACCAAGATATATAATTTATATTTCCTTCGAGATTTAAGAGTTATATTTCCTTTGAGAATAAGATAACATTTCTAAATGAAAGTTAATAGAATCCATTTTTTTAAAATTTCAATCGTATTTAACAACTGATATACAATGAAAATTACTTTATTTTTTTTTCAATTTCTCTGTATATTTCTAAATCGCTTTTTTTTTAATTATGAGCTTGCCTAGATCGACCCATAGTCTATTAAAAACCAAACTTGTGCTTAATAATTATTATATAAATAAAATCAATTTGTAATTGATATTATAAGGCTAAGGTATTCACGCTTGAAGTTGAGGAAAAGGAAAATACTAGAGTGATCTCGGTGAACTAATTTATTTAAAAATTCCCAACGTTTCGGAAAAATTAATTTTCCATTTTCAAGGGCTGAAAAATTATGGAAAATTAATTTTTCCGAAACGTTGGGAATTTTTAAATAAATTAGTTCACCGAGATCACTCTAGCATTTTCCTTTTCCTTAATAATTATTGACTTGACTTGTTAATAATTAATTACAGAGATAATTAAGCAGTAAAAACAATTTACTCAAGAACAAGACATACTTTTAGTTCTGGCGTATATGCAATAGACCGTAATTAGTTAATAAACGAAGAACGTACAATCGATATACAATAATAATGACAACGGTAAATTAATTAAATTCAACAAACATAAAAATGTCAACTATATTCCGACACGTTGTAGTAGATATTGGAAGCCGGTGCCAGAGTCGACACAATCGTTATACTGAGTCCGGAGATTGAATAAAGTGTCATCAGCAGTACGGCCATTAATTAAACTATCGATAACGGACGTTTGTCCTCATATGTGATAAGATATCTGGAAAAGTTGACGAACCAGTCAACGAAAAGTCAAGTTCTCTTTTTGACTCATTTTTCTGACTTTGCCTCCATAACCGAGTACGGCACGATCACATAATACGTGGCAGATGTTGGCGGGAGTCGGTGGCTGAGGTGGCATTATCGTTCCACGGCACTCTGGCCCTGAGTTAGGAAGCCCGATGAGGATTGCGGTTCCGCCACTGGGGCGGATGCTTAATCGAGAATGTGGTAGTGCGGCTGCCACGGACGCCTGGTAGGACTATTCTGCTGCTCCGCGGTCGTCGTGACCACCAGTCGATCGTGCTGCTCGGCAAATCTCTTAACAGCCGGCAGACGTCGGTATGGAGTAACTCGCTTGCCGTTAGGCTTCCAAATGCTGTTGATGCTGTTGACTGCTTGGTGGGAATGGGTACCTCCTAGTCGGTACCCGAGGCAGTTGATCGTCTTACTACGTTGCTTTTGAGTCTGAAGACTGAAGGGCCTATGAGGTGTTGGTAGTGCTGCCGCGATTCTATGTAGCCTAATTTTACGACTGGGACTAACAAGGTGTAAGACTGAGTTTGCGTATAAACATGATGTTTATCATTTCATCTTAATAGACGATAGCTTGTAATCGCTTTGCTTATCAACTCCTAAATATAAATTATTATAGCAATGTTTAATTTATAATGAAAATTGTTCGATATTTGAGTTTATTGTATAAGCGATTGATGTCTACTGTGTACATAAGTTTATAGTTATGTTATATTTACAAGCATTTTGACTTGAAATTCTATGGATATTTATATTTGCGAGAAAAATGTGACATCTTTTCATCCCGTAGCGAAATGTAAACAGTAAGTCAACCAATAACAGCCTTTAACAAAAGATAAAGATGAATAAAGAGAAAAGTAGGGAATTCATATTTAAATTAGATTTTCATTGCGAAATGATGCACGCAAGATATTATGTGCTCATACACATTTTCAGATAAATCATGTAGTTCCTAATATCGTGTCATTAAGACATTTTTCATGTTTTTATATTATTAGTTTTTCTTTTATCGAACATCGTCTAATTAGCGAGTGTTTGAACTGTATTACTTATTACATTATACTGTCAATTGACATGAGTCAATCTCAACTACTCATCTCCCCCCTCCCTGTCTGTATTAATATATTTCGATACTCTAGTGTGAAAATATTACATTTGGATACCAGTCCGATAAAGTGATTTCATCCTCGTGAGGACGTTTGTGCTCGAGCGAAGCGAGGGTGAAGACGCTAGACGAGGATGAAATTACTTTTTCACGTATGTATCTAACTTTATTTTTTGACTCTAATTGTGCAAGAGGAGATTTGAAACGCGCTTACTTTCCCTGGCGTACGTAAATCAAATTTGCGCATGGAGTACCGAAAAAGAATTTGTTACCAACGTATATAATGCTTTGTTGCTTTACCTATTTAAAACCATAATCTCTCTTTGTCTTTGTCTCTGTTTCTCTCTCACTAATTGTTAATAACAGCTGTGTGATCAAATTTTATGATTTGTTCACGGGCCATATAAGAATAAAACACTGCTTTAGTCAATGAATCAGTATTTATTTTTTACACCTTATATAATTACTTTTATACTTTTACAAGTTTATTGTATTTACATTTTCTTATCACAGGACTTTTTCAGGTAGTTATTTGCAATATTAGTCTCTAGGACTTGTATATTGATCCAAGAGATGTTTACCAATTGTAAATGAACCTTTTAAATATTTAACTTAAAGATACACTCATGAGTAAACATGACATACTCAAACAAAAAACAGTTTAATTCATATAAGATGGTCATAACGGTCGTTTAATTTGTTACAGCAAAAACATGTAGTTAAACATGTGCCGAACGTAAAGACGAAGCTACCTTTGAATAATGTAATCAATCTTTTCTCTGTTAGCTCGTGTCTAACAGATGTTGACGTACGCTTATAACGATTACTATACATACGTTCATTGAAGGTCATACGAATTATGAGTATTTTCTTTTTGATACAAAACTGGTCGGAAAAGGAAAATTATTTTATAGAGCAATATCGATAGAACGCAAAAAAAAAATTAAATTAAATGAATCTACATATCAGTGTAATGAGGCTTTGCTTTAGAATATTTTAAGAAAATTTTCATCCGTTAAATGTACTTCGTAAACTCTACAGTTTATCGATAAATTCTAAATATTTTATGTTTATAATAAATCTAATCAAGAAATACATAGCCTAATTCGAATAAATATAAATGATAGAAACTAATTCGATTTGGCATTTGTAATAATTGTATATATCAAGAACTGTACATTTACCGTGTGAGCTTTCTGAATCAGAAAATCCTTTAAGAAATCAAAAATAATAATCATGACGAAATTGGCTTAAAAAATTCATTAACAAAACTAACAATACCGAGAACAATGAAATAATTTGAATGGATTATGGAAGTTCTCGAAGGATTTTCCGCTACATAAATAATATTAAAGCTATTAAACGTGAAGTATCACAATTTCAAAACTTTGAAACTTTCAAGTGAACGTTTATAATGAATCAAATATTGAATTAACGTTGCTTAGTCGTTACAAAATGTACAAACTTAAACGATCACATTAACACATAAACAAATAAATACACGTATACTTTGTCGAACTTTGTAAATCAATCAAGAACGCGAAAAATTTACAAAATAAATCATACGAAAAAAGTCTTAATGAGATCATTAGGCAACATTAATACCAATATGAAACTGTGCTCAATGCTCATTACTGACTTGCCTAAGCAGTCGTCTGTGGGACGCGTCCCTTCGGCCTACGTGCATAATGAGTTTACCCTTTTTGGCATTTTTGAAAATCAGTAGAGCACGCGCATGGCTTAGCCCGTCGAGTGGTATGCCATTAATGGCAAGAATCTCGTCTTCGACTTTGAGTTCACCCTGTTCGGCGGCCTGACCTCCCGGCAAGATATCCTTCACGAAGATACCCATCGGGCCTTTTTTGCTGTCAGCACCGCCAACTATCGTGAAGCCCAATTTCTTGGCACCACCTTTCTCCAGAATGATTGTCAAGACATCCATTGAAAGGCTCGTTGCACGGCGGGTGCTTGATATCGTCGAGCTACGTTTGCGGATCTAACATAATAAAATGAGCTCATTAGATGAAGCATTTAGCGAATCCGCAAGATTTTACGAAGATAAAAAATCCACTTACATGAAACTTCTTCATTCCAGTAACTTTCTGCTCGTCGGAGTCATTGCACTCCATGTCGTGAATGGACAGAGTGCGGCCATCCTTCGTAACGGCACCGACGATTTGACAGCTTTTGCGGATTTCCTTCGGATTTTTTGTATTCGTTGTTTCGGCCTCAGTTTTCTTCTCTGAAATCGACGATCTCTTCTCGATCTCTCGCGTCGGCGTATCAAATCTCATCTCAACAGGCGAACCGGTATTGATAGTCGAACCCCAAACTTCGGAATCGCTCCTGGATCGTACCATCGTCTCCTCGTTGCCCCACGCCTCGTTGGAAAATAAATTCGGCTCTCTGGATATCTGGATTTCCACGTTTCCAACGCAACTCTTGAGCGCGTTCTTTGCCTCGGCCAGGGACATACCTCTCAATCTTCTTCCGGAAACTCGAACGATCTCATCTCCGACTCGGACGAGCTTGGACTTGGCAGCATCGCCTCGTTTTTCCAACGAAGAGACGACGAAGTATGGTCTGACGGCATCGCACCTTTGCACCGACATTCCGATGTTTCCAAGCTTCTCGACGTTGACCTTGACGGTTTTTAATTCTCTCTTGGTAAGGGGTGTCTTGAGTGCCGACGCCGAGGTGGATTTTGGCATGGGCTTGGGAGTAGCAAAGATCTGTCTCTTTGCCTTGACATTCGACTCGACGGACGGAATCTCAGTCTCGATGGCCGAGTGAGAGCGTTTAGCGTGCGAGTAGGCCAACTGCAGTTGACTCTTCGCCCTGGCGACGATTCCTTTGGACGGCGGTGAATCTTTGCACGGCGACGCGGCATTGTCGAGCAAATGCAAGATACTCGCGTTCGAGCTGCAGCGCTGCATGCGAAGGCGGTTCTTAGGCAGATTGCCGAGCTTGGAACACCGCGAGGGCTGTTGCGGTGGCATCTTCTCCGGTGTGCGATAGATCGCGCTGTTGATACTGATTTTTGCGTCAGATACAGCGCCCATAGACAACGGGGACTTGATTTCTTCCTCGTTCTCGGAAACGATGACGGTCGAGTCGGTTTTTGATGATTCGTTCAGTAGGTCACTGTTGTTGACAAGAGTCGCATCGCCTCGGTCGATCAACTCTTGCTCCTCCTGATCAGCAAAGTCTTCCTTATTCAACGAAGCCAAATCAACATTGTCATCGTCACAGAAGATCTTCGTGTCGGGACTGAAGAGCGACAAGTCGATGCCCGGATACTTGGTCAGATCCATGGACGATCGGCAGTGCGGGAGCAGCGCTGCATCCATTGCCGACTTTTCGCTGTCTGGAGTGTCGGCACCTGCTCGCGTACTGTCCGAGTCGTAGCCACTCTCGTCGCAGCGTAATTTTAGTCCGCTCATCAGATCCTCCAGGCCGGTCATCGCTGATTCTTTCAATGGTTTGCATCTGGAAGCGACGGAACGGCCGTGAGAAAAAAATTGCAAGAAAATAAGCAAAAGCAAATGAAAGCAAACGACTGGATTTGATTTGGAAGTATTCGATGATTGGGATGTCGCAACGTACCCGTCATTCTCAACCTTGCTGTCCCCAGCGAAAAGGTTCCGCTTGGCGGGAGCATTCTCCTGCTCGTTAGAGCAATCGGAGGCCGTGCTGGCATTCATCTCGTCATTGGAATCATTGCTCGACTGGCTAGCGCAGCGTCTGTGTTGCATCGCGGAGAAGGGCCTCCTTTTGATCGTGCAAGGCATCGCTCGCTCGATCGTACGCTCGGCAAGAATTTTCCCCCGGTCGGTCCTAAGTACGCTTTGATTCTCGAGGAAATAATCGAGCACGCGACTTTGCTGCTCGAGACTGTGAATGCTGCGACTGATGTGCCACCTTCGACTCTCCAATTCCTGAATTACCGCGCGCGACGGATGTTTCAAAGCACCCTCGCTCCATGACTTTTCCATGCGATGAGTCTTGTCCAGGTCGGTCTCTTCGGTGCTCTCCTCCTTGATGCAGCTCGTCGACTTTTTCAGCGACGACGACGACGACGACGACGACTTGAAGAGATTGCGAAACGACTCGACGTGACTGACGCGCTTCGGTTTGGCGAACTTGGGTGACACGGGCTGACCGTCGCTCGTCGCTGCTGGCTCCTTCTTTTGCGGACTGTAACGCCTCCGGCTGACGCTGCTGCCGGGGAGGACTTCGCTGCTTTCGGTCCTTCTTAGCTGATCCCATTTCTCACCGACGCGTCTGCTCCACGTTGTCAGACCTACGCGACAAAGAAAATAGCGTTACCAAGCGGATGCGCATACTTGCTGCGTCAGCTCCCACCAAAATTAGACGAGCATTTTCGAATGTGTCATTTCAAGGGCTTGTTCACAGGCTACACCTATTCATTATGCTGCGAACTTTCAAGCCTTTCGAATAGCGAGCTTTTCAATAGATGACGATCACGATGATCGATTAATCACACAAGCTCATCGTGTAATTTATCATTCGATGAATTTACAAATTACTTTAAAAATCTCACTTTTAGCGGAGAAAGACGTTGAAGCCGGTTTCACGTCGCTCTTGCTTCTTGTAGGCGTTACGATTTCGAGGGCCGCATCCTGGCTAATCGGAGTTGCCGACACCAGTTCGGGGCTCTGGTCGAGCGAACGTCGCTTGAATAGCCTCATCGTTCTCATCTCTGAAAGCAAGAAAAAAAACGCCACGTCAATTTCATCGGCCGCAAGTCCGACGAGGAAAAAAGAAGATTGGGCAGCGGAGGCGTGTCTAAGCAGGGGCCCGGCCACCCGCGTTACGTGTAATTGAAAAATTTGAACGTCGCGAAAGGGAGAAGCTCCGAAAATGAAAAAAAAAAAGTGGCAAAGACGGACAGTTCGACAACGAACGATTTTTCCGCCTCGGAAGATTGCAGATGCGCGCGTCACGCAGCAGCGGCAGCAGCAACAACAGCACTAGCTATAAATATAACTCGACTTCCCTTTCAGCTTGGGTTATTTTCTTTTGCGCGAGCGTAGGGCAACGAGGAAGATTTCTACCGGGAGAGAGATGCTTTTACGATCGCCGTAGCGGAAAAATGCACGTCGTCGTGGAATCAAGTCGTAAAACGGCTGCAGTGGGCAAAATAAGAGTCGCGAAACGTTAAAAGCCTTCTTCTCGCGAAAATAAAAGCACCACATCGATATTCCGATATTCCCCCTCAATTAACTTTCAGCTGGCAATACAAACAAGCGAGTAGCAGGACAAAGAAACGGCTATGCAACAACCCCCGCAGATACGCCTCGTTTCCTTTTCTACGCGAGCGAGACGATGAAAGAACGACGGGTGCAAGATATATGTATAAGTTCACGAATAAGGAAGGAAGACCGGTCAGTATGACGAAAGGCGCCTGCGTTACGGAATGAAAAAACGTGGCTTTAACCATGGCCATCTACGGCCAATGCTGCCGCGGCGATTTATTTTGCAGGATGTAATTCGTTCGCCCGCGAGTTTGGAATTAATTGAGATCGCACGGTAAAAATGCCGCGCGACGGACGGGCAAAATTTATCGTCGCGCGCGCGCGAATGAACAATCGCCCGACGCCGGAAGTGCAGTAAACGTCCAACGAGAGGGCTTTTCAATTTTTGCTCAAGAGCAAAAATAGCCTCTCGCCCACGCGCGGCCTTTGTTGCACGCGGCCACGTACGCAAAACGCAAGAGAACTCTTGTAAATTTTCTCGTGCGCGAACCGACAAAGCCAAGGGAAAAAGAGCGGCCAATGTGTTATTTTCTCTCAATTATCTTTTTACCTTTGCCCTTTTTTTTTTTTTTTTTTCTTTTTTTTTGCGTGGAGGCAGAGAAAGAGAGAAACAGAGAGCGCACACAAGGGCAATTATTCGTAATTTATTCAATTTATCGCGGAGCGCTGCGTTTACCATATGGGCAAAAGTGATTTACTATATGGGCCTTCGAGTTTGTATTTATACTATACACAGTGCTCACTCGGCGGCAACAGTTAAATGCAACTTCTTTTTTATTCCAGTATTGTACATGTATGGCCATCGCACTTCGCGAACGTCGTTTCCAGTTGCGTCTCCATTGGTGATTTGAGATACGTCAGGTGTATAATTAAGATGCATCGATCGCTATTGTAAGTGAATGCGGAGCGAAATTTATTCGAGAACGTTGCTGGCTTGACAAACGCGCACGAGTTGTTTCCTTCTTGTAATGATTTAATCGATTCCGTTGCATTGTTCGTTTCGGTTTATTCATGTAATCGATTGTTATCAATTATGGAAAGGACTTTATTAAAAAGCCCTAAACGCTCGAAAGCGCCCTAATGAAGCGCAATCACCATAAATATCAGAACTCGTCTAATGGCATGCGTGAATTAAGTATGAGAAGCGGCCGAACGGAAGAGAAACAAAAGGCCTCAGTAGCGACGAGCAACCACAAAATCATTGGCCTCCTAGTGGCAGAGCTCTACGCAACTCATTAAAAAGCCATAATGCCTGGCGCGGTAACAAAGCCAAAATTTGTCAGCAGAACGACAGCGGCATAAGCACGTGCAGCGCGTGAGAAAAAGTTCGGCCGCCGAAAATGCGTAAGTCAACAGGGACATAAACGCACGCCTGCAGGCGCCACGCGACAAGGTGCGCGTGTGCTCCTTCTTTTCGGAGGGTGAGAAAAAACCGGCGATCGCACGTGGCGAACGCGAGCAGCTGCTGCACCTTCCATTCAGCGCGAGAGAAGACCCTCTCTCTCCCGATCCCTCGAGTGACCCGAGGACTCTTTCCTATTTTTAAAACCTCTAACTTTCCCACAACGATAATGTCCCACCGGCTGCCGATTCCTTCACTTTTTTTTCTTTTTTTTTTCGTTTTTCGTGTCTGCCTGGGTATTCGTGTTACGTAAAATTTACGGCAAGTTGACCACAAAAAGCAAGAATGATGTAAAGGACCGTTCGATTTATAGATTCAACGATCGACCATTCCGTAATAATATACGACTAGGATTATCGGCAATCAACAATGTTAAGATTAAATTTCTCAACTTTCCCCCTGCTGTGTGCAAGCGAAAGTAAACAATTATGCGCGTCGTACTTTTTTAGATAACGAATTATTTACTGCCGGAAGATGCGTTTGATTTCTCTCTTGAACGATTCCGGTCGTTCGAAGCGCACGTTACGTAAAAAAAAGCACGCCTAATATGCCGTGGGACACTCCCATCGTAATCTAATCGAGACGTGTCTCTAATCGTCATTTTCAAGTGTGTGCGTGCCGAAAGCCGAAAAGAAAAGTGAACGTCGAGTTTGAAGCCCCCGTCGCGGCAAAATTGTCTCTCGCTCGCGCTCTCGACGTGCGAGAATGTGTGTCAGCCACGAGAGATCGGCGTGTTTTTGACTTTCGCTCGGCGACTCTGTCAATGCCGCGGCCAACTATGCGAGAGCAGATTCTCTTTCCGCGAAAGAACGAATGCACGCGTGGAAGATCTCGAGTCGGCTTGATTATTATTATTTTTTTCTTATTACAAGGAAATTGCAAAAAGGCGAAATCCTATTAATGCTTCATGCACACACGCAGGTGTGCAACGAGCTGCGAAATGCTATTTCAGTCGTACGCCAGATCAAACATCGGATAGCCAAGCTAACGGGTTTGTAGACTGGATCGAGAAATGAATTTAAAAAAGTAATAATTATAGGACACGTACAGCTGACGACGAACAAGTTGCTCGGCATTATTGAGATTAATTTCCCACGTCACACAGTCAGGTGTCTCGCGATCGCACGGGGACAACAGCAAAAAAGGAAGCAGTATCAAATATCACATATCCGCCCACTAATTACATCCCGAAAATTATGCATATAAGACTTCCTCGCGCGACAATGCGTTTGCTTATGCGGAAAAAAAGCAGGCAGAAGGTGACATACAAAGGCTGGAAGGTCTGTATACGCGCAGGGGCTGTAAGACGAATGGGAAGCAGAGAGAAAAGGAAAGAAAGAGAGGCTTGCCCGGTGCTCGGGGGTGCACGCGTGTGTGTTTGTGCGTACGAAAAGACGCAGCAGCAGCCGGCACCGAGAGCGTGGGAGTCTGGGAAACCTGTCGAAGAAGCCCTGGGAACCATCGACATCTGCTTGCGCGCCCTCCTCTCCCGGCGACACACTAAGGTTCCCAGACAGCAGAGTGCAGGTATACGAACTGTCAAGAGTTCACCATAATAGCCCAGATCGGCTAGGTATCTCTTTCTCTCTGAGTACTTGATTTGCATGCTCGAGCGCAAATTAAACGCGGGAAACAGCCGTGAGGGCTGCGGCAAGCACCGACTTTTCATGCTTAAAAATTTACGATTGTCGCACCAACCCCGCTGCTTCGCAGCTCCACGTGGCCCGAGCGAAAGTTTTATCGGGCGACAAAATCTGAGTTCTGTGACCGATTGCTGCAATTCCATGTGCGAGAGATTTTCACTCGGAGAAAGGACGACGAGAGTTTTCGGCAATGTTACTGCCAGTGAGAAAGGGAGTGCGAAAGTTGTTGCAGCTGTCTGTTTTTGTTTTCTTTTTTTACTTTTAAAAGTATTTTTGTGCTTGAACTTGAAAGAATTGTTGTTATTATTATTATTATGCATCCTTATTTTTTGACGCATTCATTTTTCAAAGTGAGATTCGACGTCGGTAGATACACGTTTTTCTGTTTTGACAAATTAATAATAAGATACCGAGCAAAACGTACGAATTGTTTTTTGTCAGCAAGAAGATGGCCGGACAATCCGCATTACAATTTACGAAATGAGAAATTGTCGGTAGTAAAATAAATAACTTTACGCGTTGAATTACAAAGAAGGTAAGAGAGATACATAAAATAGTTGACGAGAAACCGTCGTTCGCACAAACCGCGGTCGCGCCTTGTCTACAGAGATTTCCCTAGGCGCGTGCAACAAAGGAAAATTTTACGACGTGAAAATCTGTTCGCCTGCCCCCGAGGGATTATACTTCCTTCCCTCGTGGCGTCTTACAAGCCAATGTGTAACAAGATGAACAAATGGCCATACGCGCATGCGACTCGGCTCGACTGCCAAAGCAGTATAAAACTCGTAAAAGTACGCGCACGTGGAAGATGCTCGGGTGCGAGAGAAAAATGACATAACATGAAATTGTCGAGTCGCTAGAGCGTCGGCCAAATCCGCATGGAAAGGATGACGAGCGATCATAATTCCATCTTGGCACTTCTTCGCTTGGCAGGGTACGCGCAAGGACGGACACGGCGCTTCCAGTCAAAGTATCTTGGAGGGGAGAGGACGAGTCTTCGCGCAGGTCAGTTTTGGCGTTTGCGAGTCCGCAAGGATACTGTGCTAATAAGCTGAAGGAAAAGCGAGACAGGCAGTAGACCAACAGCGAGGAGCATAAGCTGAACGTCCGCGCGCGGATGTTGTACATGCCAATCTGCGAGGGATAAATTTTCACAAACGCCTTCTTTTCTTGCTTCGTTGGCACACAGCCATTGCCGACGCTATAAATCTATCGAAATACCGAAACAAGCGCAAGGAAAAACCTACCGAAAAGATTCGAACGGCCAGAATTGCGAATATAAAAAAATTGTATTTTGATAATCGACAGGAGACGCACACGTAGCACGGGCGGCTGTTGCGGTGTCTTTTCGCCGGGGTCACTCAGATAAACAGCTGAAAGCGTAAACAAAGATTGCGCTCCGTCGTTTGCGCACATTGTAAATCTCAGCTGAAATCTCGAGGCACGATCAACGAACTCGCGCCGAAAAAAAAAAAAAAAACAAAAAAAGAAAAGCAAATAAAATGAAATATTTAAAATTTTCTTCCACGTTCGGCGAAACGATTCGACAACTTGTCGATGAATGCGGAAAAGGCGAGAGTAAATTAAAAGAGCAGTCCAAACGAACGATTCGAGATTGCAAGTGTCATGCGAAAAGCCAACGCTATACTTACAGAAAACGATCAGCATAGCGTTGTTCTCCAAAATCGACCAATAAAGGATACTCTTCGGCTATTAGTGGCGTGGTACGAGTAATTGCTCGATGAATCGAAAACGTAAAAGATCGCCACAACAGTCCTTCGATAAACAGAAGACAAAAAAGGTAAATAAACTCGATAAGACAACGCGCGATCCTCTCCCTTTTGTGTGCGTGAGCGAAAGTGCGTGCTAACGCAAGCGGCTCCCTCGGCAAACTGACGATGAGGCGCAAAGCGTCTCTCGTCTCGTCTCGGCATCAGTCGGCGATCACGCTAGCGGCGCGTCGTCTCGCCGCCGCGGAGGGACTATAAAGAGAGAGAGAGAGAGAGAGAGAGAGAGAGAGAGAGCGAGGAGAGGGGGAGGGGTTTTAGGGGGATGAGCTTGCTTACTGCACCCATCGTACTTCGAACCCATCGTCGTAATGATGAAAAGCCGAACCTAGTGACTTTACTCATTAGACGATGCTATCTGTTCGGCACCCCTCATAGTTAGCGTGATTACATCGACGGTGCGGAAATTTTGTTTTTCTACGTCGGACACACTCGCGCACTTTTGCGTGTGCGTGTACGCACGAAAAAAATGAAATGTCGCCGCGCGCGCGGTTATTGCATCCTACAAACTAGTTTTCACCGCGTCATTATAAAACCACGGGAGAGAGAGCGAGTCTATTTTCGCAAGTTAATTAAATAGCTGTTTATTTTTCCGTTTTACTTTTCAACTGATAAAGGAGTAGGATAAGTGTGAGAGTGAGAGACTTGTATGGCTTAATGATTTCGCATCGTATATAGAGAGATAGATATATTGGAAGGTATCTCGCGCGCCGAGAGTATAATTAAGGTTTTCCGAAGAAAAATAATGATGTTATAGGATTGGATCGATATTTATGGCTGAGTTGGGGAAAAACGCGATGAATATGAAATAGATAGAGCCCTGCAGGCGGAGACAGGCCTTGCGCGTTTTCTGCATGGCACACAGCTGCGCGTGCGTGCGCGAGGAGTGTGCGAGTGTGTGTGTGTGTGTGTACGCGGTGAGAAGGATGAAGCTGAAATGTAAAGGTTCAATGGTCGCGTAAGGCTTGCTCGCTCTTTCGCGCTCGCTAACTCGGCAAAAAGATAAAGTCGATGATAGTGGACCAGCAAGGAGTGACTCTCGCTTCGGCTCTCTCGCTTGTGTAGTAAAACAACGGCGATTTCGCATTCTAAGGTTTTATTGCCACGAGAGAGAGAGAGAGAGAGAGAGGGGGGGGGGGGACTTATGATGCGATGCTGCTTTGTCCTTAGTTTTTTGCCTCGCGAGCACTGCATGTGACTCTAGCAATTTTTGCCTCGCTGTAATTGGGGAGAAGGGCTACCGTGGGAGGTATTATAAAGCGGCGGACTAAGGTTTTATATCTTTTCACGAGAAACCGCGGATACCTATTGCTTCTAAGATATACTTGCCCTTTACATTACAATTATAGAAATACGCTTCTGCCTTTTCTTCCGGATGAAAACTTGTGCGGAACGCGTAGTTTTGTTTCCGATTTTCCTTTTTTTCGCATTTTTCTTTCCAGCGTTCGATCGCCAGCTCCGTGTTTCCGACTAGATTTTCCCGTTGACCCACGCGAAAGCCTCGCTCCCGTAACATTGCATTCAGCTAACGATCTTTACATTTGCATCTATACGCCAGTCGCATCTCAGATTTAAAATTAGCACGTTCTGTGCTGCCGGTAGGATCGCTGCTGAACCAATTCATCCTCTCGTCGCGTGCCTTTCAACTGATTGCGCAATGGTCCACCTTCGTTTAACACGTCGTTACGAGCGCTCTGATCCCGAGTAACCGGACAACATTGTCAACGTCGTTCATACGATCAGCGCGCACGCGCGATTTTCATCTGCCTACGCGAATATTTACGACGTCACATAGCTGTCGCAAAGTACTTTGTTGCGAGGAGATAAAAAGGAGCAAGCAGTTCCGACGGCGAATCCCGGCCGTTCGCTTGAAATCTGCAGCCAAGGGCGAAATAAAAGAATCTCGGTATTTCGCGGCGCCCAGCGAAATCCAACGCTTATTACCGCGTCTAACGGCATGCTGCTGCAGCAAATATCACGTGTACAAAAAGGAAGCCGATCAGCCGAGGCGTGTGCGCACGCACAATATCTGCGTTGCGTAACTGGCGAATAACGAGCCTATCATTAAACTTCGCATCTCGCCGAACGAGAAAAATCAGCAGACTGCGATAGCCTTGGCTACGAAGGCGAGCCGTCGATCGCGCTTCTCTCCTCCTTTCTTGTAACCGGGGAAGCGCGAACACGTCGCATTCATTTTCAATCTCGCCTAATTGCATAATCCTCGTCCACCTCTTCTGTCCGCTGCTCGTCTTTTTGCAGGCTGAGGCGGCGAGAGATTGATACTACTTGCGACGAGTCATCAATCGAAAGTGGATATTCGAGATGCGCGCGTTGTTCGGTGGCGCGAGAGAGTTTTCGCGTGAATAATTTCAGCGTGCAGCTTTTCGCGGCTCTCATCACTTTGGCGCTCGCTGCGCTTCAGAGTTGTTCGCTCACTTTCGAATCTATCGCGGAGCCTTCCATGCCTCCAGTCGAGTGCCTTCTGCTTCAATGAGACGCATACAAGTCAGAGATGGTCTTTCCTTTTGTAATTCAGTAATGGGCTGCGGACGTGAGATCGCGCTGCGATCATTTTGCCGAACGCCAACCTTTTTCTTTTTTCCTTTCCTTCGGAGCGACGAGAACAAACGACGCGTTATCTTGCGCGCGCGAATGGCGAAACTGCATAGTAGCGCAGCCGTCATTTTCAATCATCCCCGCAGATAATGAATCACGAAATATCCGACACGCCAAAAGGACTATCGATGCACAACCAAAGTCGACGTCGGCGCGAAAAGGCAAAAAAAGACTGACGCGCGGGCAACGACGAGCATTCCTGGCGCTGCTATTTTTCGTTTTCCTTTCTTTTTCTTTTTCCCTGTCGTTTTCGTAAGAGCTCGCGCGAGCGCAAGTCATCAACCTCGTCCTATCTATTTCCGCGTGCGGGCGTCCATCGTCATCTTTCAGCCGTGTAGCGTGGCTTCGCCCACGCGCGCGTCCCGAACAATCAGCTTGCGCTTCGGCCTCGCTTCTTCGATCGGGCGCGCGGAGCGCGGTGCAGCGCACGTGCATTAGTTTATTGGACGCCGCGCCGAGCTTTCGTACAATTTACGAGTATTGAACCTCGTGTTACGTAATCAAGGGTGCTTTATGCCTACACGCGGACGCGCGCAGTCACGAGATCGCGCCAATTAAGTATATGGTGGCTTTCAATTAATGCCAATGTAAGTCGTTGTTTGCGTTTGCCTGCTTCGGCGATACGCACGCTTTTCGATTTTGCGCCCGACGAGATCGCTCCTACTCTCTCGCTTCTTTTAACTGTTCCTTTGCGGACATTATCTCAGCTTGGCTACCCGTATCTATACATTTTCTGAATCAGCGAATAACTTACTGTGGCGAAAAAAAGATAGCCAAGAAGTTACATCACTGAAACTCAAAGTGAAAGAAACTTCGTTTGCTTCTCTTTAACTGTGCAAACAATCTTGATCGTGTGTACGCCGTGTAACTGTAGTGACTGTCAGGGAGGAGGAAGGAGTGAAAAACTTGATTAACTATCTATCGGAAATATACAGTTATACAATCGTTCAACCTAACTGCAACGTAACGATTTTACTTTTTTTCGTTCCATTGTAACCCTACGAAACATTGAAAATCGCAGTCGAATGACGATTCACGTACACTTTATCGGCGTACTTTACGTGAATATTTAACCTTCGGTTAGCATACGCATATCGATCTGCGCGCAGCGGACCATTGAATCGTCGTTTTGCAATGATCGTCGCATCGTAAAAATCACGGCGACGCTCTCTAGCAGCTGCCGCAACGGGCACGCTGTCGCATTAGAATTTCGTCGAGGCGCCTCGATAATCGCGCTACGAGCAGTGTCACCGGGATAGCACGCGCGCGGGAGGGACGGAGGCGAAAGGCCAGTGGCTCTATACGCGCGATATCGTTATAAGAGCCGCGTCTACTTGATGCCTTGGCAGAGCTCCCCCTTTTCGATTCTTCATTTTTGCTCTCGAGCGCGAGCGGCTTGATTAAGAGCGGCTTTATAGATTGCTGCGGCGCGCGCACGGCACAGCGGATACGCGCCGAGCGATTCAACTTTACGCGCAAACCTTTAATGCAGTTTTCGGATTTTTTCGCGCCGCGCTTTCTTATGCTTTCCGTTCGATGCTTTCAGCGAACGAGACTATCAGCTCTCGCGGCCAATTAAGTGCCCTGGAAAATCAATTCAAAGCTCGATGCATATCTGCCTTTTCGTACGTTATTGGCTTTTCAACTACTGCATCAAAGAAAAAAGAAAGAATTGTTTTCGAATTCACGTACTATTCGAACAAGCTGCTTTCTCATCTTTGCTTGTGATTCATTTTCAACAATCCAAAGAAGAAACACTCTGAAAAATAATTGTTTCGTATAAGCCGTTTAAAATTCATAACTGGAATTGATAATTCACGAATCGCACGGCGTCGCGCCACCGATAAAATGCTAAAATTATCCGCGCGGCCTCTGCGTCATCGCCGAACGATTCGCGCGCGACGATCAATCGAAAAGTTCGAAATGCGGACGAAGGCAGCGAGTTTCCCGCGCGGCATCCCGAGTTAAGCTTTCTCGGTGACCATCGACGGCCTTTTTCCGCCAAAAGCATAGTTATTATATCAGAAAGCGTCGCTCGCTCGGCATTACATCTTCTCGACCTTTTTTTTTCACGCGGAGACTTTCAAATCCGTTCGCTCTTCAATTTCCCCCTCTTGCCTTCTGCACGCGTACTTTGCCAAGCGTGAGCTCTTTTAATGGCATGGCCCTTCTTCTTACGTTATATATATATTCTTCTGAACACCCAGCGACGATGACTGCTCGCATCTATTTTAATATCCGTGAAATTGGGTCGGGAACGTATCGAAAAAGCATGGTATTTTGTAGTGACGTCGCAAGGTGGATCGACCGAGAATCCTCTTCAGCTTTCATTCTAGTCTACAAGAAATACGAGGGACATGAGTGATGCGATAACCTTGATTCGAATGTAATGTGTTTTACATTATTTTTGCATTTCCCGTAGATCATTAGTTATCTCATCTGTATTCTCTTTTCCGTGCTTTCTTGGCGAGTCACAGTT